GAGTTGAGCTGACGCTTCCATTGAATTTCACATAGCCTTGCTTTCCCAAAAGTTGCTCTCATCCAGGCTGGACTGCAGTTTCAACCTAGCATCGGTCTCATCAACATCCCCAGCGGGATTCGAACCGTGACAGTGCAGAATGGGAGCTCGACACGTTAACCACTCGGCCGCATTGCCACCAATGCCCTTGAGTCACAGGGCAGATGTGAATTTCAAGGAAGGCCAGGTCGTTTCCATATCACATTCTTTGGTGGAAATGTCGATGAAACAAACGTATTTTTGCTATGACAATCGACTACGTTACTTATTCTTCGTAGGTAAGAAGAGTTTCGAGACTGCCAGTAAATCGTAATATGAGATGTATTCACTCTATTTCGTTGATCAACTTAAACGAAATAAGGTGAATACATCTCATATTACTCATTTACTGGTAGTCTCGAATCTCTACTTACATACGAAGAATTGGGGACTTGCTCAGTAAGGCTGATTATAAAAATGTTAAGACAGAGTGTGCAACATAACGCTTCGATTAGCACGGATATGGTGGCAGCGATCGAGTGAAATCACTGAACTAGGCTGGTAAGATACAGATCCTACGGAGCAAGAGGGAGACTCTGATTGGACTTGTAGGAAGAGGATTGCAGACCAAATTGCAGCCTTGGATTGACATTCACAGTACAATAAAGAGATTTTGGAGCCAGCGAGGAGTGTAACAAGATCTCAACTAGGCTTAGATAAACAATTTTTCGTATGCAAGAAGAGTTTCGAGACTACCAGTAAATCAGTAATATGAGATGTATTCACCCTATTTTGTTTAAGTTGATGAAGAATGTGATATTGCAAAAGGCCTGGCCTTCCTTTAAATTCACATTTGCCCTGTGATCCAAGGGCACTCATGGCAATGTGGCTGAGTGGTTAACATGTCAAGCTCACATGCTGCATTGTCACGGTTCGACTCCCGCTGGGGGTGCTGATAAGACTGATGCGAGGTCGAAACTACAGTCCACTCTGGATGAGAACAACTTTTATGAAACAAAGGCTATGTGAAATTTAACGGAAACATCAACTCTACTCATCTCATTGTGGGAAAATTCTACTATCAGTCCTTTATCACCTTAGACGAAATTTGGTGAATACATGTCTTATTACGGATTTACTGGTAGTCTCGAAACGATACTTAAATGCGAATAATATATAAAAGTAGTCTGCTACTCTAGTTGCATACTATTTACACAAATGGAAGTGGTATGGAAAGATGATGCTGATCATAAATATTTTTAATACGCATCATATAGCGTTTAGCTATTGGGCATTCAATAAATCAGATTTATGATCGTTGGCAAGCCACCATATATTTTCCTTTATTATGTATAGATGATAAAGCTACGATCAAATATATATCCTCGTTTTGTGCTTAAAGCAGTCACATTCTCAAGGGGAAAATAGTGGACTCATTATTTATTTTTGCTATCTGCATGGAATGCCTATAAATTGTAAAACATGCAAGCCTTGTATGTGCTTACGAGAGCACCGAAATAATTCTTAGAAGTTAATTTCTTAGTTTTTCAACTTGTTAAAAGAACTCATACTTCTAGTGTATATAAATTGATTAGAAAAGACAATTCTCAGCGTTTATTTTTGTTTGGACTAAATAAATACATCCACTGCTTAGATTATTGTTTCAGTTTTATTCATATCTTGGTAAAAAATACTATTTATTCCCAGGCCCAACGTTCTCATGAAATATGTGGCCGTATTTGAAGTTTAGCAGCCTCTTTTACTGGGGTCAATGGAGGCAATATCCTAGATTCTCCTGGGTTTCGGTCACCCGCTTCTATGGCTAACGTTGGTGAGCATTTTATTTGGCCTTGACGACCAGAATGATCCTTCATTATTTCTGGTCCATGATTCATTTGCGCGAACAAAAAGCACAGCACACGCTCCTTTTGCTCCCAAGTGAGATCGGAAATTTCAATCTTTTCCTCATCTGATATAAGTCTAAAATAACAAAAGCAAATGTTAAGAGAGATAGCTTAAAAGGAAATACATAAATGAAATTTCAATGCGTACTACATTTCATTTGCCAAACAAAAAGTATGAGAAACTAGTAGAAAATGCTGTCTGCCAAGTCATTTTTTATAATAAAAATATGTAGTAATGCGAAGGGCAATAAAGTGGGTAGTTTCCCTGGAGCATAC